CCGCCCCCAGGCCGAGGACAGCCTCTGCAGAGACCCTGGGCCCCCTGGCAGCCCTGGGCCTGACTGCCATGCTCTCATGGCCTCCTGGACCCTCCAGGATACTGCTTGCTGCAGCCAGTGGCTGAAAGCCCTGCTGGAGGTGCCCCCAGCTCCTCCTGTGTGGGCTGCCCCCACCTTTTCCCACCGCCACCAGCTGCCCCGTGTGGAGCTACGGGAGGCCGCGGGGAGCCTGCCAGAGCAGCTGCGGGCGGCCATGGCCGGCGAGCAGCTCCTGCTGCAGAGGGACCTGGGCTTGCTCCCCGCGGCAGAGCCACCCCCCGCGCCAGAGTCGGGCCCTGAGGACGAGCTCAGTGAGCGTCTGGAGGAGGCCTGGGAAGGCCGCGGGGCCGCCTGGTGGGAAAGGAGGCAGGGCAGGGCCTCAGGATCCAGGAAGCGGCCCAAGAGGCCCAAGCGCCGGACACAGCTGTCCAGTACCTTCTCCTCACTCAGTGGCTGTTTGGACCCCTCAGATGCCGCCAGCCCCCCTCACAGCCCAGACCGGCTGTCGGCTAAGGCCAGGCCTCGGCCCCCAGCAACACCACCCTCCCAGGAATTGACTCCAGATGTGTGGGCCCAGGACGTTCCCTCAGAGCGGCGGCAGACCCTCCGGGACTACGTGGCTAAGCTGCCACTCCAGAAGGACATCCCAGGACACACCTCCACACCTCCTTCCCAGGCCTCCAGCATCCAGGCCAGAGCCTCCCAGCAGCAGACCCTCCAGGACTCTGGAGCCAGTCTGCCACTTCGAAGGGATACCCCAGGACGCACCATCACACCCCCCTCCCAAGCCTCCAGTCTCCGGGTCACCCGCTCCTGGCAGCACAGGCCTGTCCTCTCTGGCTCTCAGCCTCACCGGAAGAAACCTCGCATGGGCTTCTGAGGGCATAGCGCAGGTGGTCCCCAGCCCAGAGAGCCCCTCAGCCTCCATCTTGCACCAGCCATGCCTCCCACGGTGGAAATAGAGTGGGTGTTCAGGTGCAGAGCGTCGCACCTCCTGAGGGCCGCCATGATTACAGGCTAGGCTGAAGGAATAGATGAGATAGCCATTCCTCTTGTGTTTTTTTTTTGCCTAAGGATTACTCCAGAAGGCAGGCAGGAGAGGTGTGGTGGCCTGTCTTGGGGCAGTGCTGGAGTCCCTCTAGGAGCTGGTGTGTCTGTGCTAGGGACTGCTGTGCCTTAGCGGGGAGTTTTGGGAAGCCACCTGGTCCTTGTGCCTCCTTGTCCTCATGTGCCTCGGGGGCAGCACTGGCTCCTGTCGCGTCTGGCAGGCAGAGCAGTGGCTGCTGGCAGCTGTTTGGGGTTCGTTGGTGTTCGTTGGTTCCCTATGATCTGATGCTGTGTGGAGGGAGATGCTTTGCACCTGGGCTCAGGGACTGAATAAACTTGGCAGCTCAACATGAACTGGGAAAGTGCATTTTTAGATTGGTTGGCGTCCCAGTATGTAGCTTTTGATGCCAAATTCTTAAGTCCCACTTCCTCTGAGTTCTCAAGCTCCAGTGGGGAAGATGCCCACTTGGAATCTTCCAAGAGATGGGATCTGATCTAGGTTTCTGACTGCGCAAAGAGAAATGGTGTTTTCTCAGGGTGGCTGATGAAAGGAATGTGTGTGACTCAAGTGTTAGGTGGTCCATGTGGATGTGTGTTTATCATGCTCAAACGAGACATTTACAGTTACACCATTTATATGAGAAATAATCAGGAAGCTGTGCCGTCCATGCACATGGCCAAGGAGGTGGGGGGGTAAGCTGGGCCATGGGACGTGTCATGGTGCAGGCCCTGGGGTGGGCTCTAGGTCACTGTGGCACTTTGGAAGGAAGGGGAGCAAGCTGAGGGGTCACCTGTGCTCGCTCCATCACTGTGACCTCAGGGCTGGAGGGGGTCACCTTAGGGTTCAGTCCAAGCCAAATCCAGTGTCGTCCTGGCCTGCCCCCATCCTGGGCCCAACGGGCTCCACTTTGGACTGCACCGCATGCTTTTCCAGGCTGGTTCCTAAACAGTAACAAGAGAAGACCACTCAGGACACACAGCAGAGCCCTCACTGCTTCTGCGGGTCTCAGGTCAGCTAGAGTTGTCACAGGAACAGAAGAGAGCCATCTATACATCACACACTCCCCAAGCTTATTTTTAAGATTTACTTATTATTTTAGAGATATAGTCTTGCTCTGTTCTCCAGGCTGGAGTGCAGTGGGAGCAATTGTAGTTCACTGCAACCTCAAACTTGGGGCTCAAGTGATCCTCTGGCTTCAGCCTCCTGAATAGCTGGGCACCACCACACCCAGCTTATATATATATATTTGGGGGAGTAGAACTGGGATCTTGCTGTATTGCCTGGGCTGGTCTGGATTTCCCAGTCTCAAGCAATCTTCCCACCAACCTCAGCCTCTCAAAGTGCTGGGATTATAGGCATGAGCCATCACTCCTGGTGGCATTCCTCAATTTAAAAAACTAGCCCCTGGCCAGGCGCGTGGCTCATACCTATAATCCAAGCCCTTTGGGAGGCTGAAGTGAGAAGATTGTCTGAACCCATGGGTTCGAGACCAGCCTGGGCAACTTAGCGAGACCTCATCTCTATAATAAATCAAAAAATTATTTGGGCATGGTGGTGTGTGCCTATAGCTCCAGCTACTTGGAAGGCTGAGGTGGAAGGATCACCTGAGTCCAGTAAGTCTGAGCCCAGAGCATGCCACTGCACTCCAGCCTGGGCAACAGAGGAGACTAACTTTAAAAAGGGGGGGGAACCTGGCCCCCAATAAAAACCCCAGAGCCCCCGGGGGGGGGGGGGAGACTTGTACATAAGTTACAAAACATTGCTTTAAAAGTTCAAAAAAGTCTACTTAAATATCATTGAGATTCCTGCGAAAATCCCAAAATCCTTTGGCAGAAATGGGCAAGCTGATCCCTGATGCTCAGGTGAAATTTTAAGGGATCCCAAATGGCCAAAACATTGTAAAAAAGGAAAGCCAACTCGATTGTTCACATTTTCCAACTTCAGATCTTACTAAAAAGCAACAGTTAAAAAAAAAAAAAAGCCAGCATGTTACTGGCATAAGGATACACATATGGATCAATGGAACCGAATTTCTAGTCAAGAAATAAACTCATACTCTCAATGATCAATAATTTTTGACAAGGGCCAAGACCATTAAATAGTGTTAGAAGACTGATTACCCACATGCAAAGGAATGAAATTGTACCTTTATCTCACAACACATAGAAAAATAAACTCAGGCTGGGTGCAGTGGCTCAAGCCTGGAATCCCAGCCCTTTGGGAGGCAGAAGCAAGAGGACTGCCTGAGCAACATGGCGAGACCTCGGCTACAATGAATCAAAAAATCAGCCGGGTGTGGTAACACACTACTGTAGTTCCAGCTACTTGGAAGGCTGAGGCAGAAGAATCACCTGAGCCCAGCAGGTCAAGGCTGTGGTTGGCCGTGAGTGTGTCACTGCACTCCAGCCTGGGCAACAGAGTGAGACCCCATCTCAAAAACAAAAAACTAGCCCCCAACGTGCTTGTCCTCAGCACTAACCAGCTGCCCCCCCAAACTGTCCGCGGGTGTGTGCGTGGCCTCCAGCACTAGGTGAGGCCCAGGAGGTTTGGCATGGCTTTCTGTCCCTTGCAGCCAGGCCCTGGACACACCTTTCCTGCCATGAAGGTATCGAGGACTTGCACAGGGTCACCCAGCCTCAGCTGTTCACTGTGGAGCTGCTGTACTCTAATATAGCCATGTCACCTGCTTGTCCCATAGCCCAGCTATGGTGTCAGCGGTCCCCTCCCTCAGAAGCCTTGGTCTAGAGAGGCTGAGGGCAACGGATGGTGAGGAGGGAGTGGAAATGCAGGCTTGTTGCCACCCCAGGCCTGCTGGACTGAGATTGCTGAGATCTATGTGACCACAGGGGCCCTGTGGTGCCCACACGGCCAGGCTCGAGTGCCCAAGGACAGTCACTCGGCGGCTTCTCAGCCAGACGGCCCGGTGAGCAACAGCTCCAGGGTGGTGACACAGGACCAAGACCTGGGAAGAGTCTACACCGCCTGTCCCCAGTGGCCCCCCCAGGAACATGGACTGCTCGGAGCCATGCCTGGGGCTCCGACCGACAGTGCCTCTCTGCACTGAGCTCTCACCTGGTGCAGAGGCCGCCAGGAGGCTGCTGTCCCCCGCCCCACCTGAAGTGGGTGGTTGGCCTGCAGGCTTCTGGTCGCTGAGCTCCTGGACCAGCGGCAGTGGGGACTTGCCATCGTGTCCTTGGGTCTCCGCAGCCCTCTCTGTGTCTCCCCTGCATATGTCTGTGAAGGGTGCCCGCGCCCTCGGGGAGCCTCTGGAGACGGCAAATATGTTTGCAAGGGCGTCTGTGGGCGCAGTTTCCAGCAGGGGGAGCGACACACAGTCCAGTTCAGGGTCACTGTCATCACTCAAGCTCGGGATGGCCTCGATCTTCGGAAAGCACATTTTCTGTTAGAAGAAAAGATGTGTTTGACCATTTCTGCTTCCACAGCAGAGTCGCCCCAAACCGTGCTGTGCTCATTCTGCTTTCTCACCTAATGTCACAAACATGCTGTTGCCACATCCAAGAAGGGGCCCAAGGTCACACAGATGCTGCCCTTTGGGAGTGAGACCTCGGGGGTACCCTCTGTGGCCAGCTGTTGGCACTGAGCCCGTTCCCACCCCCGGTGACCCCCACGCTGCCTTCCCCCACCGCTTGCTGTACGACGTCCTCCCGCGCACTGAGGGACGTGCCCTGACCTCGGGCTCTGCTGTGACTGAGTTCAGGGGACGCGCTTTGCAAATAACAAGCATGGGCGTGGAAGTGAGGGCACTGTGGGAGTGTGTGTACTGACAACCTTGTCCTGGTCCTTCAGGTATTCTCCTGTGTTGTCCACGTCTTCCAGGTCAGGAAGGTCCTGAAAGAGCAGGGTCATGCATCACCAAGGGAGGCGGGGCCACGCATACCCTCAACGCCCCGTGGGCATGCCGAGGATGGGTGGGCATGCCGAGGAGGGGCCGCACCCACCTAGCCACTGAGGCAGCCCTGCCTGGTCCCCACCAAAGCAGCCCCACACACACTCACAGAGCGAGCACTGCCACTCCGAGCACCTGGTCTAGTGCCTGCATGTGAGGGCTGGCAGGTGTGCCATGCCTGAGGCATTTCTACCTTCTCTCCACTTGACTTTTGTTGTCAGAGAACAGCCAGTTCATCAGGGGGAAGTAGGGACACCAACCAAGTGGACTTCTGTGCACATCAGTCTTAGGACTTTGTGGCATCAAGGTGATATATTTTGCACCTCCCAGAACCTGTGGGACTTGGTTTTGTATCGTGGGGTTTTGTTTGTGCTCTCCATGCCTGACACCCAGTTGGCACGTGGGAAGGCAGCACAGCGCGTGGTTAGAGGCGTGAACCCCAGAGCCACACTGTCGATGAGTTGCTATCCCCTCCCCCATTTCCTAGCTGTGTGTCTTTGGGAAAGTTGCTTAACCTCTCTGTTTCTCAATGTCCTCATCTGTAAAAAGAGAATGATAATAGTAGGTGACTTTATAGGAAGGGTTAAATCAGTCAATACAAGTTGTACTCGGAACAGTGTGATGCATACAGAAAGAAGTCAGTAAATGTTAGCTGTTGTTGTAGTTCTACATACAGTCATTTCTCAAATGTTAGAAATTGCCCAGTCTTCTCATTATACACAGGTCCAGAAAACTACAAGCCTGCTGTGAATATTGATCATGACCACTTTAACTCTCACTGAAATTCTGAAGTTTGGGCATTAGGCGTGGAACACCGGTCTAGACGTTAACTGAGAAAGGGGGCAGGGAGCAGGCGGAGTGTGCACCAGCTGCCCAGGGGTGAGGTCAGAGGTGCCAAGGAACACCTCCCGGACCCACCCCTTCAGAGCACAGTTCCTGGGGGGGCAGTGGCACATGTGTGAATTCCTGCGGTGACTGTCCTCCAAATGGGAAGAGCCTCAGGGCAGAGGAACCTGCTAGGCTGTGATCAGACACTTCCTGGATAGGCCCCAGGGGAGGGACATGGGACAGTCCCATCTCTGGGAGCCAGCAGTCCTGTGACAGCCAGAGGAGCCAGAGCAGCCAGAGCCTCCGTGGATGGTGCCCAGGGAGGAGGAAGAGGCTCTGATGACACAGGGTAACTGGCCTGGCAGTTTTGTGTGAGGCAAACCACACAGCACTGCTTGGCTCAAGAGTCTTGAGCCAGTCGTAGTGGTTCATGCCTGTCATCCCAGCACTTTGGGAGGCTGAGGCAAGAGGAATGCCTGAGCCAAGGGTTTGAGACCAGCCTGGGCAACTTGGTGAGACCTCGTCTCTACAACAAATCAAAAAATTAGCTGGGCGTGGTGGCTTATACCTGTAGTTCCAGCTGCTTGGAAGGCTGAGGTGGAAGGATCGCCTGAGCCCAGCAGGTCGAGGTTGCGGTGGCCGTGAGCAACGTGCCACTGCACTCCAGCCTAGGTGACAGCAAGACCCTCAACTCAAGAATAATAATAATAAGAAGAAAAAGAGTCTGACAGTTCCGGGCCAGCCATGTGTGCGCATGTGCAGTGCACCAGATACAGGTTCTGGTCAGTGGGACTGGTGGGGCCTGGGGTTCTGCATTCCCAGCTAACTCCACACCGATGCCCTGCACGCTGGCTCAGGACCACATTCGGGGCACCTGATCACCTGTTTTACCAGCTCTGGAGCGGACACCCGCCCAAGGCAAGGCACTGCACTTACATCAATGAAGAGTGGCCTCCCTGCCTCCAGCCCTGTAGCTCTGCTGTCTCCAGTTCTGGCTCCTCCGCCGAGTTCTGTGACCGGTTCACCTGCAGTGGCCAAGGCCTGGGGAGGCGCTTCTGGGGAGGAACACAGCGTAGGTTAGTTTCACATAGAGTGGCATGATGGACAAGCCCGGCAGGGGGCAGGTTCCGAGGCAGGAGCAGAACAAAGGCCCCTCCCAGGTCTTCCCCCGCCACCAGGATAGGCTCTGGCTGTTGAAGGGAGGGGCAGCTGCCTCTTTCTGTGATAGGGGGTGGGAATCCCTGAGAGGACAGCACCAGGTGGGAGTCAGCGGCAGCAGCCGGGACCTTGGAAAGGCAGCAAGAGCCACTCCGAGTCCGGAAGGGGCCACGCAGCCGACAGGTCTGAGAGCAAGCGCCATGGCTGGTCTGGCCCTTCCCCCTCCAGGCCTGTTTCCCCGGTGCCCATGCCAGATCCTAGGGTCTTGTGCTCCGGTCTCCTTCAGTCTCGTGGCCTCAGTGGTTACACTGGAGGTCCGTGGCCCACCTGCTGTCACTATCCATGGGTCTAGTGTGTCCACCCTGAGAACAGGCTGTGCCCAGTTGCACTCAGAGCCACAGGTGGGCACTGCTTGGAACGCAACATGGTGTTGGCAGGGCCTTCGTGGTTGCTGTCGTGGGTGACCCCGGCCTGCGTGCCACTCTGGCCACTCCTGACCCTCACTCACAGTCCCATTGTCACTGGTCTTCTCTACTAGGACGTCCCTCCGCCCGACCACGCCAGCTCTCGCTCCCTCCCGAACCCGCCCCTCCTCCTGCCCTGGTCTGGGTTGCAACCTCCCAATCAAGAAGCACAAGGACCAGGCAGCTGCCAAGCCCTTTCGCTCTGCCTTGCCAAACCCCACCTGTCTAGGCTTTCTTTTGCTTGGGGAAGGCTAGGCAGGGAAGAGATGAACAATTACTGGGGCACAGCCCACATGGCTTCATGCAGCCGATGGTGTAGGGATTGTTTCTGCTTCACAGAGGCACAGACAGGCTCAGAGCGGTCTTGTGGTTTGCCCAAGGTCACTCAGCTAGTCAAGGGCTTGGACCTGGGTCTAAGTCGGTGTCTGTCTAGCAATCACTGTGCTTAGTGTGTGTCAGTGAAGAGTTTGTCGCATTCTATAGACAGTTTGGGTGACTCCTAGAAGCCGAAGCTCTTCTAGAGGTAACTGATGAGATGGGCGATGTCTATAGTGTTTCCAACCCAGAATGCATTGAGGTTTCTCTTCTGCCCTGAAGCTTAAACTCCAGAAATGGGTGCAGGCTGTGGAGGGCAGCGTGCAAGTATCCAAGTCTGACTCTGCTCCTCGGGCAGCCTTCCTTGAGTCCTGGCTTCATGGTGAGGTCTCAGTGAGAGTGTGTGCAGGAAATAGCCAAGCTGGCTGTGCTATCTCCTGGCCATCTCCACTCTCACTACCTCGGTCCCTGATGGGGAAAGGCTGTTTGGTCAAGAAAGGTGAGTGGAGCGCAATTTTGTAAACAGTCAGTCTCCACTGAGGCTTGCCTTTCCCAGGGCTGAGCCCCCTGAGCTCTGGGTGGCCCCGGCCCCGTTGAAGGGGAAGCTGGGGAGGAGGGACAGAAAACAGAGGCCACGGGATGGCGGTGACAAGCAGGGGAGATGACAGCAAAGCAGGGTGGGACCGAGCTTGGCTCCAAGTCACCCAGGGGCAGTCCCTGCCTCCACTGTCTACTTGCTGTGTGACTGGAGCAAATCACTGTACCTCACCGAGCCTCAGTCTTCAATTCCACTAAATGGGGTAGAGATGATAGCACCCCCCACAGGCCATTGGGAAGGCTGAAGGCCATGGTCTTTGATGCTCTGGCCTCCCGGCGCCCCACAGGCACTGGATAAACATACTACTGGCTTCAGCTGGGCAGGGCTTTGGTGACTTGCCCCCTGTCAGATCAGCAAGGCGAGGACCTGTCCACTGCTGAAACTCCAGGCTGGGAGCCGTTTAGAGCAAAACACAGGACGGGGGTGATCATGCAGGGAAAGACTTGTATTTTGATCTTGACAGAATCCATGTGTGACAGCATCTATGTCCACGGTTGAGAGGGTAACATTTCCCTCGTCGCTTAAAGCAGAAACATTGTGCCTTTTGGATAAGGAGGTCTGGGCAAAGGCTTTAGGGAGAACATGGCCCACGTCTGGTAGAAATGTCCTTCCGGGAGCCCAGGAAAGGCCAGGCTATGGGGTTTGCCATCCCATCCAGTGAAATTTAAAATTAAAATGTAAAACCTAAGTAGTAGAAAATAATGTGCTTATTCCTTTAACCGCTGAAAAGTTAGCGTTTGACTGGGCGCGGTGGCTCAGTAATCTCAGCACTTTGGGAAGCAGAGGTGAGAGGATTGCCTGAGCCAAGGGGTTTGAGAACAGCCTGGGCAACTTGGCAAGACCTCATCTCTACAATAAATCCCAAAATTAGCCAGGCTTGGTGACGCGCACCTGCAGTTCCAGCTACTCGGAAGGCTAAGGTGGAAGGATCGCCTGAGCCCAGCAGGTCGAGGCTACAGTGGCCGTGAGCGTGCCTCTACACTTCAGCCTGGGCGACAGAGTCCGTCCGACTCAAAAAAAAAAACAGAAAAGAAAAAGTTAGCATTCAAGCTGAGATGTGCTGAATGTGTCAAATGCACACTGAATTTTGATAACTTAGTACAAAAAATGTAAAATATCTGATAACTTTTAGGTCAATTTCATATTGAAATGGTTGTAGTTTAGCTATCCTGGCTTAGATAAAACGTGCTGTTCATAGTTTTGCCTGCTTCTTGCTATTCTCGTTGAGGAAGCCACTCAAGAACCGGGGGTGGCTCTGTTCCCTGTCTGTGGGCAGCACCACTGTAGACCATGGAGATACCAGCCTGGGTCTCAGAGTTGCAAGGCAGAGGCCAGATGCCCTGGGGGGGGGTCCTGGGGGTGCCCTAGAGGGTGCCTGTGCTTGCTGCGCCTGCAGGGGCTTCCCACCCCATCCCCACCTTACCTTCCCCGGCAGCTCCCAGGGGTGGCAGTGGCGGGGCCTCTGCCCACAGGCCCCCCTCTGGCTCCTGGTCTCCAGCCTCCCCGCCAACCACTGCGGGCAGCTCCTCTCCTGCACGTGGCTCTTCCGGGAAGAGCGCATCCCTGGCCTCGAAGCTCTCCTTAACAAACAGCTCCATCTTCTGCCTCAGGTCTCCATCCCCGCAAGGCTCTTTCTCGCCTTCTGGACCAGCATGGGTGCCCTCATCGGGGCCTGGCGAGGGCATCTCCCCTAAACAGGGGGAATCCACAGGTAAGCTTGGAAATGTCCCCAGAAGGGCCTGGGCCCCTCACTCTGCTACAGCAGGACACGGCCACCACTGAGCAACAGCACAGGACGCTCTCAGGAGGCCTTGCTGAGGGATGGGGCTTCAGGGCCGTCATGTCAGCCTTGCCCTTCAAGAGGTCCCGGAGAAGAGGAAAGTATGGGGTGGGGCAGACGTGTGCCAAGATGTTAGGCATTGTCTCGTCTAAGGGCACTATGCGGCTGTTGGTTTTACTATTCTTTCAGCTTTTCCAAAAATTTCAAAATAAAAAGTTAGGAAAATAAAAAATATGAATACTGTAAGAAACTGTCAATTTTATGGAAAATACAGCATGCCAATTGAGAAGAGTAGGCAGAAAGCGGGAATTATACCATTTAATATAGAAACCAGGACACCAAGGGCCCCACTGCCGTTGTGCGGCACTCGTGTTTATCTGTATTTTCTGTGTGCATCAGAGTCATTTTTTGTAACTAGGTGAAAAGCAAGACATGCTATTTAAGCACACACAGAAAGCCTGGCTCTTCCCAGGTGTGGGACGAGGACGGTGGGGTCTCTCTTAGGAAGGTGCCCTGAGCACTGCCCCAGGACCCTGAAGGCTGACTGTGGCCAGCAGCCCTTGGTTAGGATTGGAGCAGGATGGACCAGGCCTCTACCAAATGCCATCCACAGTCAGAGACTTCTAAGCCCCCAGGGCTTGGGGTAACAAGCTGGGTGAGCCAGGCAGGGGCTCATTCACACCCAACCTGAGCACTTGGGCGTTGACAGAGCTTGGAATGAGAGGGGATGGGGCAGACAGAGGAACTCAGAAATCCTGGACAAACTGAGGGACTGTGGAGGCAAGAACACTCCTAGGCCTTCCTTGGTCCCGCCAAGCCCTCAATAGGGTGGTCTGGCTATTTTGAGCAGAGTTTATGCAACCATCCAGACAGTCAACAAAGCGCTGACACACATGGCCGCGTGGATGAGCCTTGAAAACATGCTGCTGCGTGAAAAGTCTGTTGTGGGCCTCACTGCTTTACTCCACGTGTGAGAAACATCCGGAACAGGGAAGTCTATAGAAACAGCCCCTTGATGCTGCCGGGCTGGGCGGAGTGTGGGACAACACACATTCTGGGTGAGGAGAGAGTTTCGGCACAACACAGGTGCTGTCTGCCCAACACTGTCAGCGTACCACTGATCTCTGCCTGGGCTGCACATTCTGTGAATTTCCCCTCAGTTTCACAAGGCTGCTGCTTTTCTGCAGTGATTCACCCAGAAGGCCTTTCCCCTGTGTTCCTGGCCACCGCAGCCTCGACCTGCTGGGCTCCGGCGATCCTTCCGCCTCAGCCTTCCAAATAGCTGGAACTACAGGTGCGCGCTACCACACCTGGCTAATTTTTTTTTTTTTTGTAGAGATGAGGTCTCGCCAAGTTGCCCAGGCGGGTCTCGAACCCACGGGCTCAGGCAATCCACTCACCTCAGCCTCCCAAAGCGCAGATTACAGGCTGAGCCACCAAGCGCAGCTAAAACAAGGTTTTCTAAAGGACACAGACTGAGCCCCTGTATGGCATGTATGTTGGCCAACTTTTGCCACTGATGGTGCCAGATGTGGAACCTCTGAAATCAGCCAAAACCGGGTTGCTTTGGCATGAAGTCAGATGGGATTAACAATTCTCATCTGTGGTAGGCAGAACACTGGCCCCCAAAGATGTCCACCCTGAATCCTAGAACCCATGACTGTGTTGCCTTACACAGCAAAAGGGACTTTGCAGACAGGATTAAGACTGAGGACACCTTGACATGGAAAAAGACCCTGGAGTATCCAGTTGGGCTCCATGTCATCACGAGGGTCCTTAAAAGAGGGAGCCAGGGAGACTGGCAGAGACACGCTGCTAGCTCTGAAGGTGGAGGGAGGAGCTGCAGGCCGAGGAGTCAGGAGGGCTCAGAAGTTGGGAAAGGCAGGAGACAGATTCTCTCCTGCATCTCCAGAGGGAGCATGACCCCGAGACAACTTGATTTTAGCCCAGTGAAACCCATTTTGGGCTTCTGACCTGCAGTACTGTGGTAAGATAATAAATATGTGTTGTTTGAAGCCACTCATTTTGCAGAATCTTCTTATGGCAGCTGTGAAATAATACAAAATAGATATACATCTACAGTCTCTGAAACAGGGTCCTTCAAGTCCTGCAGATGGGGCGAGTGGCGGCTCTTCTGTTCTAATGTCTGGTCTTTGGCTCCAGTTCCTGACACAGAGCTCCTGGGCTGCTGTCATTTGTCTTTTGTTCTAATGAGGTGGCTCTCGGGGGTGAGGGGCTCCTGGAGGGAGGCTGGTCACCAGAGGGACCAAGCCATGGCTAGAGGTGAGGGCTTTCAGCCCTACCCCATCCTCCAGAAAGGGGAGAGTGGCAGAAAATGGTGTTAATAATCAGTCACACCATGTGATGAAGCGCCATAGAAGCTCTGAACCGTGGGCTTCAGAGAGCTTCCTAGGCGCAGTGTGCTGGAAGCTGCCTGGGGGTGGCGGCGTGCCCGGGAGGGGGCCGGAAGGCAGGGCCCTCAGGAGAGGCGTGGAAGTTCCATGCTGCTCCCCTGTACTTCGCCCTGTGCATCTCTTCACTGGGCTGTTCATCTGTGTCCCCTGTATGTCCTTTATTAATATCATAAACGCAAAATGTGTTTCCCTGAGTTCTGTGAACCATCAGAGGAGATTATTGCACTCAGAGAGGGAGTCATGGGAACCCAGCTTTACAGCCCTTGGTCACAAGTATAGGCAGCCACCCAGGACTTGTGACTGGTATTGGCATCGGGGAGCAGGCTGGTGGGATTGCTGCCCTTCTCCTGGGGGTCTGTGCTCACTCCAGTTAGTGTCAGATCGAACTGAGCTGTAGGACACCAGCTGGTGTGAGAACAGGCTGGTATGGGGAAGCCCACATGCCTGGGGACTAGAAGTGTGCTGTGTGTCGAGAGTATAGCAGTCATATAAAACGAACATATTTTGAAAACTGGACCCTGCTTTAACAAATTGTGTTTCAGTCCATACAAGGCTTGGAACTGCACAGAACTGTCAGTTTCTCACTGGCAGGTGAGTGAGGCAAACTTCAGATGGATCTGCAGATATGTGAGTAAGTGGTTAAAAAAAGATCCCAAGATCGAAGGCTGTGACAACCCACCTCATGTGCAGGGGGCCCTGAGGCCAGCGCTGCGTACCTTCCTGCTGAGGCTCCCTCCGCCGCCGCCTCTCCTCAGCCTGCCGCTTCAACATCGCCAGGGCTTCGATGCTGTCTGTGACCTTCTTCCGCTCTTGGCTCTCCCACCGCTCTCTTTCCTCCCTCTCGGCCATGTGCCCACCCCTGGCCCAGGCCTCTGCACAAGCTCTGTTTAAAAAAGAAAGAAATAGAAACAGGGAGCTGTGAGTGTGTACGGGTTAAAAGTACAAATGTGTCCCATCTGACCAAACTCGCTTGTTTTCTTCAAAATCAAAACAAAGGGCACGTGAGACACATGGCTGCAAGAATGGAAGTTAACACGTATACATCTTAGTCTGTTAAGCTAGACACTCCGTGAAGCTTCCTTAGGTATGACCTCAAAACACGAGGGACAGGAGAACAAATAGACAAATCAAAAACTCAAAACTGAAAACTTGTGTAATGCAAAGGATAAGTGAAGTAAGAAGAGCCCTGGGCAACATAGCAAGAGCCTATCTCCAAAAAAAATAAAAAATAAAAAATTAGTGGGGCGTGGTGGTATGCACCTGCAGTTCCAGCTACTCAGGAGGCAGAGGTGGGAGAACTGCTTGAACCCAGGAGCTGGAGGCTACAGTGAGCTATGGTCTCACCACTGCACTCCAGCCTGAGCAACAGAATATGAACCCCAACTCTAAAAATAAAGCAAAGAGACAACCCACAGAATGTGAGGAGATATTTGCAAATCATGTATCTATAAGAGTCTTGTACCTAGAAAATAGAAATAACTCTTACAACTTATTAATAAAAATACAATATAATTTTAAAATGAGCAAAGGTTAAAAGAAAGAAAAGACAAGCCACACACTGGCTCACATATCCAGTGAACTTGGATAGATGTAACACGCCGCAAAGCTGCCATTACAGTTATTAAGCGGGATAGTTCCACTGCCAGATAATTCACACTGGGGGAAAAATTTGCAAAACAGGCACAGGGCATGTATTAAAGACACACAAAGAGCTATTAAAACCCCAAAATAAGGAAGCAACTCAGTTAGAAATTTGGCAAAAGACAGAGACACCTCACCCCAAAAGACATACAGGTGGCAGATAAGCATGTGAAAAGAAGCTCAGCATCATATGTCACCAGGGAAATGCAAATTAAAACAACATATCTCACATCGCTATGAGATGGCTCAAATCCGAAATGTGACAACACCAAATGCTGGCGAGGACATGGAGTGCCATGAACGTTCCCTCCTTCCTGGAGGGAATGCAGAATGGCACCGTCCCTTTGGAAGACGCTGTGACAGTTTCTTACAGAACTAAACACACTCCCACCACACCCTTTAGCAATTGCACTCCTAAGTGTTTACTTCTGTCCACTCAAAAACCTGCTCATGGATATTTATAGCAGTTTTATTCTAACTGGCAAAAATGGGAAGCAACCAAGATGCTCCTCAGCAGGTGAATGGGTAAACACTATAACATCCAGACAACAGCATATTACTCAATGACAAAAAGAAAGAACCCAGCAAGCCACAGTAAGTCCCAAAAGGAGCTTAAATTCGCTGCCAGGTGAAAGAAGCCAGTCTGAAACGGTTGTACACTGTATGACTCCAACTATGGGACATTCTAGAAAAGGCGAAACTGTGGAGATAGCGAAAAAAGAAAGGCTGCTGGGGTGGGGGCCGGGCTGGGAGGGGTGAGGGAGGAGCACAGAGGCTTCTAGGGCTGTGGGACTGTTCTACTTGATACTGTAACGGTAGACACGCAGTGTGATGCATCTGTCCAAGCCCACAGGATGTGCAACCCCTGTGTAGTTCCAGCTACTCAGGAGGCTGAGGTGGAAGGATCACCTGAACCCAGGAGGTCGAAGCTGTGGTGAGCTGTGATTGTGCCACTGCACTTCAGTCTGGGTGACAGAGGGAGATCCTGATTCGGGGGGGAAAAAAAGAAGAAGAAAAGAAACATCCAGAACAGGTAAACCTACAGAGACAGAAAGCAGATGAGTGGTCGCCTGGGACTAGGGGAAGAGGGAATGGGAGTGACAGCTGATGGGGACACGGCTTCCTTTTTAGGGTGATGAAAATGCTCTGAAATGGTGTGTGGTGATTGATGATTGTGCAACTCTGTTAATATACTAAAAGCCCCTGCATTTAACACTCTAAATGGGTGATCTATATGGTATATGGATTATGTCTTAATAAAGCTGTTATTAAAAAAATATAGTAATAGTTTGAAAACAGGAGGCTTACCTTCAGAGAGAAGCAGCAAATCTCTGCTGTCAAAACAAAGGAACAGGGATGGTTGGGAAATAGCCCCACAGGGTTCCGCAAAGTATGCCATAGCCGATACAGACAGAAAATGCCAAAGAGAATGAGCCGCCTTCCAGCCCATTTCCAACATCGGTGAGAAAACCCCAGGCCTTTTTTTTTTTATCTGGGAGCAGATATCCGGCATGGCCTGTCAGTTGCCTGCTACGTGCCAGGCACTATTCCAGCGGCAGGCTTCAGGCAGCAAATGTGAGAGATGACCTCTGTTAGACGCCCCTTCAGTGGGACAGACAGACTCCCCTTCAGTTGGGGAGACAGACTCCAAACAAGGGAACTGCAGGAAGTCCCCAACATATGTATGAGTTCCATTCTAAGAGCATGTCTGTAAGTACAACAAAGTTCACCTAGGTACCCAACTAACACAATCGACTGTATAGCACTGTATGTATTTAACAGGCTATACTGACACCTGGTGGAGAAAAATAACACATAAAAAATTCAGGCATGCATTCTCAAAGTTCATAACTTGAAGGTTTATATGTAGGGGACTTACTGTAATAAGTGCTGATGTGTCCTAAGAAGGAGCACACAGAGGCTGATGTGTCTTAAGAAGGAGCAAGATATGGCTAAGGGGACATCACCTGGAGAAGGTGGTGGTTAGATAGCTCCTTCATTAGAGACCAGGTGAGTAGACACCGCTGCATCCCAGACAAAAGCAGGTGACCCAGTGTCCAACAGTCAGTAAGTGATCAGGTTAAGATTCAAGCCAGGGGCATGGTGACTCATGCCTGTAATTACAGTGCTTTGAAACAGGAGGATTGTTGGAGACCAGGAGCTTAAGACCAGACTGGCCAACATAGTGAGAGCATGTCTCTTTTAAAAAATACAATAATTTTGTAAAAACATTAGCCTGGTGTTGTGGCTTGTGAGGGAAGATACCCTGAGCCCAGACATTTGCTGCTGCAGTGAGCTATGACCATGCCACCACACTTTAGATTGGAAGACAGAACAAGACCCTGTCTCCAAAAAAAAGGCTCAAGCCAGGTTAATCTGCCTCCTGAACTGGAGTCTCATGCTGTGGTCCACTGGCTCACATCCATGTTTGCACTGCCCACTCCTCAGCATGTCCTGGGTCAGGATCAGCATCCTCTGTGGCAGCTGCTCACATGAGGTCACACCTGGGAACCTAGCCCCTGCTCAGAATCCCACATACTACCCGCAGGTACTCACATGGACCCTGTCACACATATTATTATTATCCCCACTTTACAGAGGAGGAACCTGAGGCCCAGGGAGGTTATTGAGTTCACCAGTGATCACAAAACTCACGGCTGCAGAACTGGGCTTGGCAGGCAGGACCCTGCACACAGCTCTTCTGCGGACCCTGCCGCCCCCAGGCCTGGGACCCAGGAGCTAGGTCAACCCTTGCTGGACCTCCCAGAAACAAGTCTCCTGGTTTCTAACCTGGCTGGAATATAGGATTTATTTGGTATACTTGTTAGTTTGATGTAAGTTTGTGAGTTTAAAGCACATTATGAACTACATTTATTATAAATGCTGCATAATGCAAAATTGAGATTGTACTTCCTGTCAAGCAGTCTAGATAATTGAGGCTTTATTCCAAGTTGAAGTTACTAAATTGACCTAAGTTAAAAGGTAAATTAAAAGCATGGATACAAGTAGTGACAATAATGACAGTCTGGGGTGCACGATTCCTAATTTTAAAGAAGCTTTTACAAATCAATAAGAAAGGCTCTTCAAAAGGAGACTGGGAAGAAGTCATGAACAGAATATTCATAACAGGTCAAATAAATGTCCAATAAAGATGGAAAAAATGGCCCACCTCATCAGTTATCCAAAAGTACAAATGTAAATACCATCACTACCCATCAGCTAACTTGGCAAAGGCTTCTATTACATGACCATGTTTGGTAAATTAGTATACTTTCTAGAAAATAATTAGAAAATATTTGTAAGAGCTTTCACAAAATCTTAAACCACATCCTTTAGTCCAGAGATATTCCATCCTAAGGAACTGGAGAATTCCATCCCAAGAACTCACCTGTGGTGCGGTCAAAGACCTCCATACAAGGATATTTGTCAAAAGAATATAAACATCTATGAATAAAAAGTACTCAAATTCCTATTATAGATCAATAAGCCTGTTTCCAAAGAATACTTAATCATGTGTGAAAATGCTTAAAAATCAGAAATTTTAAAAGTTTACTATTAATCATGCTCACCTATTAAATATTAAGACATGGTCAAAGGCTATTCTTGTCTTACCTGTCCTTTGGAAAAACCGGCCTGTCATCCAGGTACGTTAAGTGTTTTAGTCGAACAGTGACCGTCCTTCGATAATTAGGAATATTCCTAATCACTGGGTTTCCCATCAAATTCAGGACACGCTGCAAGAGGACAAGCAGAACCAAACTGATTACTGAAAAGAGATGTGAGTAAATCATTGTACATGTGCTGAGAATAAATCAACAAAATGGACTTTTTGGAGCATACTGGAAGTGCCTGTGTCATGTGCTGGCGACCTGGTCCAAGAAAGCAGGTTCTCGTTGCCTATATGCCATCAGACCTGTCCAGATAATTGAGTGGCTCTTTCTTCCACTTGAACTTCAGCTCTGAGGTCTCACTGTCCTTCTAGAACAATATTGAACATTTCCTGAGGATTTTTCTAAGTGCAGTTGATTATATTAGCTTTGATGCCAAGTTTTTTTATTGAAATCAATCTCAGTCTAATTGATGGTTTTCTTTCCTTCCCAGCCAGGGCTGCTAGATGGAGAAGCAGCGGTGACTAAGGGATTCTCCTCTGCATGCTGCCAGAATGGAGGGCTCTTCTGGCAGGGCTCATGGAGCTCCTTGATGCCAGTCAGCACCCTGGAAGAGGAGGGGCTCAGCAACACCAGCCTGCCACCTACCCCATCTTAGAATGCTCTCACCTCTTCTGTTGCCTTAAGGCACTTGGGTTAAAATAATAATAATAATAATAAAGACACTTTGGGTGAACCATCTTAAAATCTGTTAGCCTATGCTGATTAAATATTTTCCATATCTAAAGGGTTTTTGTTGCTGGAGAGGATAAATATATTGCAAACTAGTTCATTTAGCATTTCCCAAACTTACTTCCTCCATCTTCCCCATCTTGGGATATTTTAAAGTGACATACCCTACAGGGAGTGGGGTGATGGGGGTGATGTGCCCCAGGGGCAGACAGTAAAGGGGTGCATGGTGTGTGGAGAACTCAGACACAATCACAAAGCCTCTGTTCTTGTGGGTTGAATTGTGGGCCCCTCAAAATGCATCTGTAAAAGCCTGAATCCCAGGATCTCAGGATGTAACTGTCTTTGGAGATGGGGCCTTTAGAGAGGGGATTACATTGAAATGAAATCACTGGGGTGGGCCCTGATCCAGTCTGACCTGTGTCCTCATAAGATGAGACAATGACACAGACAACATGAGCACAGAGGGACGGCCACGGGGAGGCACCGGGAGAAGGTTGATCATGTGCAGGCCAAAGAGAACGGCCTTAGGAGAAACCAGCCCTGCCCTCATCTTGAGCTTGACCTTCTCGCTTCCATTAGTAAGAGAAAAGACATTTCTGTTGTCTAAGCCACCAGTCTGTGGTACTTTTGCAGTGACAGCAAAGACAGAAAAAGGCTTATAATATAATACAGCTATATAGCCCCACCATGTGCTGGCAATTCTAAGCTAGTCCTTCCCCCCGCCCTGCATCTTGCTGCTTCTGTATCAACTGGTCCTTTTGGATAGTCCACTCTGCAGATTGTTCTTGAACTACAACTTGCTTGCTATTTTTCTCTCAATTGACTGACTTTCTTTCTTACTTATCAGTAAGCCATATACACTGAACTTGAGGGTTTCGTGTGCTAGCTTTCAGAGTTTTCTAGTATATATGGACAAGACATACACATAAGAAGCAAGGAAGCTGTCAAAGCCTTCAAAGGACACAGGCCCAACCTGGAGGGAATCTCAAGGCCAAAAGATGGGCAGATTTGAACATCAACAAAGACAATGACAGCAAGGGTAAAACCATCTTAGATACTGTCTATGTAAATGCATGAGTTTGTCATGACACTGAAAAACAAAATGGCTTCATTGTCACCATCAGCGGTTGCTAGTGTCTTAACTCATTTTACTGAAAACTGATAAAAGAGCTATACATTTATCCTGGCCTTCTCTGGATGGGCCACCAGTTGCTGAGAAGCTCTTTGTAGAAGCATTCCAGCTAGTAAACGTAAGACAAACAAGGGAATAAGAGTATGATCACTGTGTGACTGCCAATGAAATTTACATCCAGGCAACATTCATCAGTGACTGCCAAAATAATTGGGGGAAGGACCCATGGGGAGCTCCATAATGGCTGGGTCAGGTTGGCAACATGTGAACCCACTAGCAATATTTGTTATTGCATTTTATATATATATATATATAATTTTTTTTTTTTTTGAGTTGGAGTCTCACTCTGTCACCCAGACTGGAGTGCAGTGGCCTCCCGGCCACCGCAGCCTCGACCTGCTGGGCTCCGGTAATTTCAGGCACACGCTACCATGCCCGGCTAATTTTTTGATTTATTGTAGAGATGAGGTCTCGCCAAGTTGCCCAGGTGGGTCTCGAACCTGCAGGCTCAGGCAATACACTCACCTCAGCCTCCCAAGGCGTGGGATTACAGGCTGAGCCACCGAGCCTGGCTTATTTTATATTTCTAATAAAATAATAGAAAAAAGTCTCGCTATGTTGCCCAGGCTGGTCTCGAACTCCTGGGCTCAAGGCATCCTCCTGCCTTAGCCTCCCAAAGTGCTGGGATGACAGGCATGAGCCACCACACCTGGCCCCCTAGTTAACTTTTATACAACAAAAGGAGCAGCAGGTGACATCACATGCCCCCAACTGTGTTGCAGTGGAAGTACACCACACCTCAAAGTAGAGCCCTGAGGCTGGATATGATGGAGCCACTGGCTCCACCATTGTTTTGCAGGAAACACTGGGGACAGCAGGACATCTGAAGTGACGCCTGAGGCTGCATATAACCAAACTCAGAATATGGGAGACTACTAAACAGAGGACCTGACCTCTTTGAAAAATTAATGGGGTGGGGGAAAACAGGGTAGGAAGACAGTAAATCCAAAGCAATTTAAGAGACAAACATTCCAAATATAACATCCTAAATCTGGTTTGGATTTAAACAACCCAACAGTCAAAACATAGACGAATGTGTAAGACTGAACATGGACTGGGTATTAAATGTAGTCATTATAATACTCTAGATATCGCAGTGGCATTGTGGTTATGTTTTTAAAAAGTCCTGACTTGTCAGGAGTACATACTGAAATATTTGTGGGTAAAATAATACGGTATCTGGCATTTAAGATACTCCAACTAGAAACATAAGAAGGAAAAAAAGCGTGAAGGAAGGAGGGAGGGAGGGAGACGACTTGATAGTGAACATAAAACAACACAAGTTGACTCTGTGGGTCTTTTTGCTCTGTTTTGTTTTTACCAGGTCGGGCATGCTCTCCAGAACGCTCAGGATGTCTGGATCGCTCAGTTTGTTGTGGGAAAGGTCAAGGACGCACAGTCTCAGGCATTCCTTCAAATGCTGAATGTCTTCTGTGGTCTCAAGGTGATTGTGCGCTATCTGTAGTGTGTTCAGGACTGGGAGGCAGGCTGGAAGGCAAGATCAGCACAGTAAGCAACAAAGGCATAAGCACCTCCTCTCCCAGAATATAAAAATCCCAGCCTCTCGCCAGGGACATGCTGGACACGTGGCCCGGAGAAGCCACGCTGCGGCTTACAGAGGTTCTCGAGGGTTTTGATGTAATTGTTGCTGAGGTTGAGCGCATCCAGCTTCTGCAGGGGCTCCAGGTTCTCGATTTTGTGAAGCAGGTTCACCTGCAGGAAGAGGCAGCGCAGCTCACTCTGGGCCCCCAGGTTCTCGATCCTCTGGATGCCATTGCATTCCAGCCAGAGGCAGCGCAGGCCTGTGTACTCCTCCAAGTTCTCGATGCGACTGAAGCCTGGTGGAAAGGAAAGAGTGTTTGTTAAGCTCCTGCACACAGAGACAAGGGGTCACGGCCACTTTGTTTTTGCTTGCTGTAGGGGCTGAATGCCTGCATCTTCTCCAAATTCATACATTGAAACCCTGACTCCTAAACGTGACGGCATTAGGAGTGGAACATTGGGGAGTGACTAGGTTGTGAGGGCACAGTCCTTGTAATGTGATGAGTGCCTCTGTAAGGAGCTGACGTGGCCAGTTTCCCCTCTACCCTGTGTGGACGCAGCAGGAAGGTACCATGTTTAAGTCCGGAAGCAAATCCTGACCAGACACTGAATCTGCCGCCACCTTGATCTTAGACTTCAGCCTTCAAAACTGTGGGGACTCCATTTTTGTTGTTTATGAGCCACTCAGTCTATGGTATTTTGTGACAGTAACATGAAACGAACTAGGCACCCACCTCTAGAGCATCATGCCTGCTTCCTTCAGTGAAAACTCTTCTTCTAGGACCTGCCCCCCTCCTAATGCTACTGGATGGTGCTGGTTGGTCAGCCAGAGTCACATGATCCATTCAGGATGGGTCACATTTAGCCAGCAGGTTCAGCATTGATGACTCCTAGGGAGTTGTGCTGGCCCCACTGAAGAGAAGCTAGTCTTACTGCTGGAATTGCCTACCCTGGAGCGTGGACCTAGTGCTGCCTTTATGGGGGGAGAGAGAGAGCAAACATGCCCAGAAAGTGAAACAGCACAGAGGCAGGTAGGACCAAGGAAGGAGAGAGACAGCCTCGTGCAGAGACACCATGAGTGCTGGTCCCAGCCACACTTAAAGCTGGTGCCAACTGGGGGCCTTACTCTGTTCTCTTTTTCAGTGTCATGAGGCAAGTTTAAGGTTAGGAAAACAAAAATTTTGTTTCCTTTAGTAATTCATCATCAGGTTGTACTTCACGATTCATCATTCAAAATTTTTAAAAGTTCTTTTGTTGTCTGAAAATGTTATGATTAAAAAATTTTAATATTAACGGTGAGCAAAGTAATAAGAAAATGTACCCATGACCCTCTGACAGATCATCCATCTTCATTTCTCTTTCTCTGCCCTTTTGAACTCATTATAAACATACACAATATTTACACAGCTATAATAATCGAATACAGTTAAATGTAGGTACAGTAGAGATGGAGTTTTTAAAAATCGGGCCCTTTTTTTCATAAAAATTTTTATAGTGGAAATGTTTGCCATGCTGCTTCAAGGTCTTCATTTTGAAACCAGTATCTCTAAAAGACAGAAGCCTTTTTTGGTCTTGAAGATAACCACATACCATTGTGAGTGTTAAATAATTCCGTAATGTCATTAAACAGGCTGCCACTGTCCACCTTTCTCCCCAGGTTTTTATCAAACTGCTTGTCTGAATTAGTTAGCATCTCCTAAGCCTCTTTTAACTTAGGTCTTTGTGTCTGCCTTCCTCTCTCTCTCTTCCTTTGCAATTTTTGTCAATTAAAATTAAAAATTGTCCCCTCGAGTTTCCGACCTTCTGGATTTTCTCCCTTGCCCCTGCTCCAGCTCTCACCCTGCCTCCTTCCCCTTCACAGGCAAGCCCTCCCTTTGCCAGTTCATGCCTTCCCCAACTCACTGCTCCTCTCTCGATCCCACCATCACTGCAACCACCTGGCTCAGGTCTCCAATAACATCCTCAATGCCAAATCCTATCGTCAGTCCTCTTGACCTTGACCACGTCGAGGTACCTGCCCAGCTGCCCCTGAGGTCCTCCAGATCACTCAGCCTACAGTGGGTCACCATCCCGGCATTCATGCCTCATGTTAATAATGCAGTAAGACAAGGGCACGTCCTGAGGCCAAAAGTACAGCAGAGTGGTGGTGCATCGCTTCCTTACCTCCAGCCTCCATTGTGGCCTCACTCTCTTTCCTGGGTAACTTACTCTGGGGGAAGACAGCTGCCATGGGGTGGCTTACACAGTGAGGATTTGAGGCCTCTGGTCAACAGCCAGCGAGGGTCCAAGGCCTAGAGCCTAGAAGTGAATTCTCCAGGCCCAGTTGAGCCTTCAGATGAGTGAGGCCAGCTGAGAGTTTGGCTATAACTTCATGAGAAAGCCTGAGCCAAAACCACCCAGTCAATCCCTTCCAGGTTCCTGGCCCTCAGAAACAGTGTGAGATGATGAATTTGAGTTGAGTTGCTAAGTTTTGGGGTAATTAGCTATGTAGCAATACAGAACTAATAAGGGCTCCCCTCCCTCCTAGTTCTCCCACCTCCAATTCTTCTGACTTAGTCTAACTTATTGGTTCCTCTTCTTCTTCCCATCTCTTAAGTATCAGTCCCCTGGGCCCCTCCTAAATCACTGCTCAGATGCTGGCAGAGAATCTTGGAGGGGGCAAAAATGGAGGTGAGGCATGGAACCAATGGGAGGTTCCGGACCTTCAAGGTTTGCGCTGCTGAAGCCCTTGTGTGGCTCCCCGGGCACAATACTTTCCTCACAGCAGCTGCCCCGTCCCCAGGACATCAAAGCCACCTTGGCTGAGTCTACATCCACATTTCCAGCACAGAGCACAGTGCTAGGCACACAGAAGGCTCTCAGTAAGCATTTACGAATAAATAAGTGAACCAAAAAGAGGATTGATAGAGCAAGTTGGCCGTCCCAGGCTCACTGCAGAGCCCTGTCTATGAATATGAACTTAAATTTACTGGATACCAGTCCTGGGCCCTGTTCACGCCCCTCCATCTGAGAGGTACCCAGAGATCCTTGTCCTTTGCTTTTATACCAGGCTGCAATCCTTCACAATCTGTCTAGACCTCCGTCTCCTCCCCAAGCCCAAAGTGCTTACAAGCTAGCTTTCTGGTTTGAACAATGAAAAGTCCTTAGAAAACATAAATAAACATAAATAAAAGACACTGAGGTGCTTCCCTTGTATTCACATGGCCAGTGGCCCCGTTATAAACTAGTTGGGCAAGAGTGTTTCTTGAAAGGACTATTTGTTTTTTCTATAAATTTCCACTAAACTCTGAAGTTTCTATTTTCACAAAGTCTGAGCGCTGAAGAGGATCCCTGCAGGAACTTCTGATACCATGAGACAAAGTCTCTCTGCCCGACCTGAGGCCTCCCTTGCCAGGTCCTTACCTTTGAAGTGTAGATACAGCGTGTCGTTCAGTGCTGGGGTGGTGTACAGCTTGTGCTGCTTGCAGAGCTTCTGCAGAAAACGTTTAGTCATTCTGTTAAAACAGAAAACATGAAGACATTTATTTCAAATTATCAGCTATAAAGCGTATTCTAAGAGTTCCCTGCCATATCCATCCCGCCCCAGATGCTGCAACACCCCAGATGCCCAAGATCTGTTTCGAGGTCTTCCTTTCCTCCTCCTTCTTCATGCTTTGAAGTCTACTTCATTCTTTGGGGATAGCTTTCAGTGTCTTATCTACTATTGTCACTTTCAACATTCCTAAAAATGATCATGTGTGCTGGGCATAGTGGCTTATGCCTGTAATCCCAGCACTTTGGGAGGCGGAGGCAAGAGGATTGTTAGAGCCTAGGGGTTCAAGACCAGCCTGGACAACTTGGTGATATCTTGTCTCTACAATAAATCAAAAATTAGTGGGGCATGGTGATGCGTGCCTGTGGTTCCAGCTACTTGGAAGGCTGAGGTGGAAGGATCACCTGAGCCCAGCAGGTCGAGGCTGCAGAGCCATGAGCAGTGTACCACTGCACTCCAGCTTGGGCAACAGTGAGACTTCGACCCTCCCTCCCCCCAAAAAAGTCATGTGTGTTCTAATAAAAATACAAAATACTTTTAATAATGTCATCAGGAGCTACTGCTATTCCCTTTCCGGGCCTGGAGTTAAAGTTTAATAGAGTGTGGTTAACTGAGCAACAGTCCATGCCATCCTCATGCCACGACCTAGTGATCAGACTCTGGGCTGCTTGGCAGTCTCCATGAACCTGTTTCCTTACTTGTCCAAGGGGGTAATTACACCAACAACCTTACTCCACAAATGTGCACTAACTGGCGGCATGTCCACATACCTGGGACTCCCATCTTCCCAATCATCTCTTGGGTGGGCTAAGCAGCTGTCTGACCCACTGTCACCACTCTGTTTTTGCTGGTCTTGGTAGGGTGTGTCAGAAAGACCCACATGTATTTCCTTAGGATCATTAATTTCTGTAAAATAAAAGAGATCAGGTCTATAGGGATCAAGAAATGTACTCCCACAATTCCTCCAACTTCAACTTGGTTAGTAAATGCCCACTTTTAATATGAAACACTAGTATTCTTTAAATGCATCTCAATTTTTAAAGCATTAGCAAAGACTATATACATGTCACTTTTAGGGAGATCCTCTGTAAGAACTCTGGTACCAGTGCACAAGGAAATGTATACAAAGATGTTGTTTCTGCATCATTTGTAAAAGTCAAGAACTGTCAGCTATGCAAATACCCGTCCATAGGGGTTGGATACTTGACAAAATGGATCACTCTTCTGCCTTTGAAAAGAATGCACTAGAGCTATATTTATCAACAGGGATTATTCTCAGAAACATATATAGAGTGAACAAAGCAAGTTTCACAGGATACCATTTATATAAATTAAAAATCAATTTCACGCATTGTTTAAAGGCACATATAAAGAGAGAAGTGATTGAAAGAATCCATACAAAATTCCAGACAAGGGAGGAAGGGAATGGGATTAGAAATAAGGGGAGATTGCCGGGCGCAGTGGCTCATGCCTGTAATCCCAGCACTTTGGGAAGTTGAGGCGAGAGAACTGCCTGAGCCTAGGAGTTTAAGACTAGTCTGGGCAACTTGGAGAGACCTCATCTCTGCAATAAATGAAAAAGATTAGCTGGGTATGGTGGTGCATGCCTGTGATTCCAGCTACCTGGAAGGCTGAGGTGGAAGGATCACCAGAGCCCAGCAGGTTGAGGTTGCGGTGGCCGTGAGTGTGCCACTACACTCCAGCCTGGGTGACAGAGTGAGACTGCGACTCAAAAAAAAAATAAAGTAAATCACTTTCAACTCTTTGTGTTTGTTACAGTACCTTTTTCAAAATTTTTGCCTTTTTAAAAAACTTTCTCAAGCTGACTGCTGTGGCACCTACTTGTCATCCCAGTTACTTGGGAGGCTGAGGCAAGAGAACCCTTTGAGCCCAGGAATTCATGTCCAGCCTGGACAACATAGTGAGACCTTTTCTCAAAAGAAAAACTACATGATGATAATAAAAACAATGGCAATATCTTTGGTAAAAGAAAATGAGCACATTCAAATGCACTTAATTTTTTAAAAGGTCAATCAAAATCTGACACTTGGAATGCATTCAACTTTTTAACGTCAAGGGCTGTTGGCTGCTGTTCTCTGTGTGTTTGCGTGGTCTATTGAACAAGACTAAACCCTCCTTGTGTGGGGACTGTGTTTTAAACTCATCAGTTTCTCACTGTATACAATGTCCAGCCACAACAGGGAACGTTTGTGAAATAAATAAAGAATAAGAACTCAGTATATATAATTGATTACTAACAAGAGCTATCATTTATTAATGGCCCACTACATGCTAGAAGCTTTAAGTGCAATGATCTCTTTATAATTATCCCTGCTTACATATGGGGAGCCAACAGCCACACAGCTGGCTAGCAGCACAGCTGCAATCTGAACCCAGTTTCAGTGGCTCCGAGGCCAGCATCTTTCCGTTGAGCAGTACCAGTTCCCTAGAGACTCTCATGCAGGGTTTGCGGACAGTCAATGCCTAGGATGTATTTGTTGACTAACGAAACACAAGCCAATTGGTTTCTTTATCTAATCTTTAAAATTTTCCCTTAGGGCCTAGTGGGAGCAGGGGCTGAAGACTATCTTTTGAATTCATTCCTGCACACTTTGGTGAAGAGGTCTTACACTGACACCAGAACCATCACCTCTTTATTCAGACTTGACCGTATGTCAGGTACTGGGCTAGACATTTCCAGTTCAGTCCGGATGTCCTGCGCTGACATAGCGTGCAGTCTAGAGGGGGAGAAGTCCTTGAACTTATGTAGTGGTAGCAATAAAGGGAGACATTCAAAACATCAGAGTTGGGAGCTGAGAGACTGGGATGGTGGACAGGGGCTTAGGCGCCAGTCAGACAGTCCAGGCCTGAGGCTCTATTCCGCCATTGTTAGCCAAGGGTCATCTGTGGGAGCAAGTTGTATAGTCTCTTTGATAAAGCCTCCGTTTCCTCGCCTGTGTGAAATGGGAGAGAGGCACCTGCTGCAGAGGGCTGGTGTAGGGCTAAGTGTAGCAAGACCCGGCACGCATCGCTAATAAGCATGGGTTGCTATTGTTATTATTATTGCTATTATTTGGCTGTGAAGATGTGTTGGGAGGAGGCTGGCGCGCCCAGAGGTGTGGCCCCTCGCCCCTTCGCCCTCCCTGGAGCGGCGGTCAGCCCCTTCCATGAGGTCCCCTCGACCCGCGCTGTTGTGGTCACCCGCGGACTTCTCCACGCCCGGCTCCTGTGCGCAGTCCAGCTCCGCTGCCCCGTCCGCTGAGGGCTCCGAGTGCTTGGGATGCATGTTTACTCCTGTCAGCCGAACACAGCAGTGGGGAGTCTCGTTCCGCGGTCGCTACAACCCCTAGCCCCGCCTGAGAGGACTCGCTTTGCTTCCCTGCCAGCCGCGGGCGACCTAGCGGTTGGTTGCTCAACGCTTCCCTGGTCACCACGGCAACCAAGGCGCACGCGCACTTGGGGAAGGCCAGCGCGCTGGGGACACCGGGGGCGGGCCCTGCCACGGCTCCGCCCCCGGCGCGTGCGCGGGTCACGTGGGGGCGCGGCCCGGCGGCGGCGGCGGCGGTAGCAGAGGTGGGGGCGGTGGCCTCGCGGGTCTGGCGGGATCGGCCTGGACGACTGCGTTTGCCTGCAGGTACCGCGCCCCCCGGGCCCGGGACTCCCCCTCTCCGTTCTTCTGCCCCAGACCCC